CGTGCATTGAGTGCACGGACAGGGTACAAGCGAGCGCCGCGTACAAGCGAGCGCCGCGTACAAGCGAGCGCCGCACCCCACCAACTTTGCGCACCTCTCTCATCTTAACGTACAATGGCTCAGCGTAGCGCTACTCTACCAGCTTCAAATGAAGCAGATATTCAGCTTGCTATCTTCTCTATTAATTCTTATCAAATACAGAGTAATCGCAATGCTGCTGCTATCTATAGCGTGTCTGAACGAACGATCCGCCGCCGACGCGCTGGTGTACCTGCCCGACGCGATTGCCAGCCCAACTCAAGAAAGCTTACCCAAAGAGAAGAGGAGGTGATTATTAGCTATATACTCGACCTAGATCAGCGTGGATTTGCGCCTACGTACGAAGCTGTACGTGATATAGCTAATAGGCTACTGACTACGCGCGGCGCTGGTCAGGTCGGCGTCCACTAGCCGCGCAACTTTGTCAAGCGTACAGACAGCCTCACGACGTGTTTCAACTGAGCGTACGATAGGCAGAGAGCTCTGTGTGAGGATCCTGTGCTGATTAAGAGCTGGTTCGATCTAGTAGAGCAGACAAAGGCTAAGTACGGCATCTGTGATGATGACGTCTACAACTTTGATGAGGCTGGCTTTATGATGGGCAAGATCACGACTTAGCTTGTCGTGACAGCGTCAGAGAGGAGACGCAGGCCAAAGGCTATCCAGCCAGGCAATCGCGAGTGGGTAACGGCGATTGCTGCGATCAACGCTGCTGGCTGGTCAGTACCGCCGTTCCTCATCTTTGCTGGCCAGTATCACCTGTCTGCCTGGTACGAGGAGGATATCCCACGCGACTGGGCTATCGCAGTTAGCGACAACGGCTAGACAACCAACGAGATAGGAGCTGAGTGGCTAAAGCACTTTATTAAGCATACTGAGGGCAAAGTAGTTGGAGCACGTTGGCTGCTTATCCTTGATGACCACGAGAGCTACTAATCGCTTGAGTTTCAAGAGCTCTGCAAGGAGAACAATATCTACACGCTCTGTATGCTACCTCACTCATCTCACCTACTTCAGCCTCTTGACGTTAGTTGCTTCTCGCTATTAAAGCGCGCGTACAGCCGTGAGGTTGAGGCCTTAATCCGCCACTACATCAACCACATCAATAAGCTCGAGTTTCTACTAGCGTTTAAGGCAGCGTTTGATCGATCGTTTACGTCAGCCAATATCTGCTCAGCTTTTCGAGGCGCAGGCCTTGTTCCTCTCCAGCCAGACGTTGTCCTATCAAAGCTAGACGTGCAGCTCCGTACGCCTACTCCAGCTGCTCTACCAGAGGCTCCCTGGGAGGCTCGTACGCCGAGCAACGTACGTGAGCTTGAGGCTCAATCAACGTTAATACATGATCGCATTCGGCGGCACAAGAGCTCATCGCCTGCCTCTATTATTGAAGCGATTAATCAGCTTAAGAAAGGGGCTGAGGTTATGATGCTCTCGGCTGAGCTAATGCGCGATCGGATTACCAGCCTTGAGCGAGCCAATGAGGCAGCGTCAGCGCGTAAACAACGTAAGAAAAAGCGTATACAGAAGCAAGGGACCTTAACAAAGGGAGAGGGGGAGGATATACTCGCTCAACGCGAGGTTGAGCAGCAGATTTCTCGTGAAGAGCGTCAAGGAGGAGCGCGATCAGGCCTTAGCCGCCAGGCTCTGGCGCGCTGCACGAGGTGCAGGGAGACTGGCCACAACTCACGTACATGCAAGAAAGATACTTAAGATACTGCTCAATCTACTATATAAATTTGTATATATTATCTCTTAACGTGGCTGTAGTGTGCGCTTAAATGGGCGCAGAAAGTTGGTGGGGTGGGCCGCTCGCTTGCCAACCATGTTAAGCTAGTTAGATCAGAACGTTGCTTACTAATCGAAACTGAACACCACTAATATGTCACTCTATTAATATTATTTACTGCCTAGCAACCTCATTAGCTACCTTAGCAATCGCCCTGATATTAGTACCTAATCAATCTGATCAACCAATTCAACCAAAAAGAGGGCTTCGATTTGTTCTTGATTAGAAAAACGCTATGGGCGAATTGATCTTGACTTGATTGAGCTTTTGATCAAGAATCAATCAAAACAATAAAAAAACTTGCTTGTTGGCATGTCTGTACACGTAGTGGTAGCCATATTGGAGAAAACCGGGCCTACAGGCTCGTACGCCGGAGGCCTGAGCTGAAGTCTCAAATCACTAGGCAGCGCGATCACCAGAGAGCCCTATACAGTAATCCAGCAATAATCAGCCCATAGTTTGACCTTGTACGCAACGTCAAAGTTAAGTACGGTATCCTAGACGAAGACACCTACAACTTCGACGAGACAAGCTTCCAGATAGGCATTAGAGGGACTATTAAGGTGGTGACAGCATCAGAAAGGCGCACCAAGCCGCTTGGAGTCCAGCCTAGCGATCGCGAGTGGGTAACGTTAATCGCTGGCATTAAAGCGATGAGGTGGTCTGTTCCACCCTTCCTTATCCTCAAAGCAAAGCACCACGACTAGGCCTAGTATCACAATAACCCTAAGGGTTGGAGGATAGGTGTTAGTAACAATGGCTGGACGACAAACGAGCTTGGTCTTGCCTGGTTGCAGCACTTTATCCAGCATACAGAGGCTCGCACAGTAGGTAGTCACCGCCTGCTTATTATTGACGGCCATGAGAACCACCAGTCACTTGCCTTCCAGAATCTGTGTGAGGAGAACAGGATTATTGCTCTCTGTATGCCTCCACACTCGTCGCATATCCTACAGCCACTTGATGTAGGTTGTCTTGCCCCACTGAAGCAGGCGTACAAGAAGGAAATCAGAGTCTTGGCAGACAGCCACATCAACCACATCGACAAAAAAGCCTTTCTAGCCACCCTTGGGCCAGTGTTTGATAAGGCGTTCTCGAAGGAGAATACCATATCAAGCTTTAGAGCAACTAGCTTAGTCCCACATAATCCAGAAGTGGTGTTATCTAAACTTGAAATCAAGCCTCGTACGCCAACGCCGCCTGCACCAGGGCCTACCCCTTGGCAACCTAAAACACCAAGCAACGCCTAGGAGATAGAAGCTCAAACAACGCTAATTGTAAAGAGGATAAGGGACCACAAGAGTTCTTTCCCTAACTCTATCATCGAGATGGTCTTACAGGTTAAAAAGAGGTCAACTTTGAAGGTCTACTTACATGCGTTGCTTGAAGCTAGGATAGCGAACCTTGAGGAGGCAAACCAGGCAGCGTCTGAACGTAAAAAGCGTAAGAAAAAGCGGATCTAGAAGGGAGGAACCCTATCGCAGGCGGAGGTAGAGGATATAGTTGGGGAAAGGGATGTTGAGGTTCAGTTAGAGGCAGAGAGGTGTCAGGAGAGGGTACGCACAGGTGCTAGTAGAGGGGGTATTAGACACTGTAAGAGATGCGGCGAGATAGGGCACAATAAGCGCACGTGTAAGAAAGGCGAAGTAGAGTTAGGGGATTAATTTAACGTATTATGCACTGCAGTACGATGTTGTAGTGGTGAGTTATTAATGTGTTGGGGTAGATAGCTGCATTTAGTGCGCAGCTCAGTAGCCACTTACGTTGTAACGCTTTGCGAAAGACCAGACTCACCCTTAGCCGAGGTGACCGGGACCCCCGGAACACACCCCGCCACCCAACTTTACTAGTATAACGATGCTGGCTAGGTCGCGCAGCACTTAGTATTGTTAACCAGCGTCGTGGATCGTTTTTACAGCTCAGATTGTACCTATATTTGTCATTTCTGGTGTTCTTAAGCTCCAAAATGCCGCCCGGGAGCGGAAAACGCCTTCAGCCAGCACTTTTGCAATCAGTAGTCGATCATATTGCCGCCGGGGAGAATAATTCTGAGATTTCTCGAGCGACTGGAGTTACCCGCAAATGTATAGGCAAGCTTCGAGTGAGCTTGGAGTACTGGGGAGTGCCATACCCGCCTCGAAGTGTTCGTATTGGGCGACCCGCGACTCTCCGGCAGCGCCATCTCGACGCTCTTAAGCAGTACTTGCTTGGCCGACCGCAGGCATACTTAGAGGAGATGAGGGACTGGTTATATGACGAGTTCGACATCCAAACAACTATTTGGACGGTGTTTCGGGCTCTTGAGAAGCTTAAATGGTCAAGGAAACTCGGTTCGAAACGCGCAAAAGAGCAGAGTAGTCCTCTCCGTCGGGTGTACGCTGCACGGATCGCTCAGCACTACACTGCTGAGATGATCGTCGCGGTTGATGAGAGCGCTTGCAATGAGCGTACGGGAGATCGGAAGTATGGTTGGAGTCCTATTAACGAGCCCGTGGAGCTCGTGTATAGCTTTAAAAGGTCAGAAAGATGGTCGCTGTTGCCCGCGATGACGGTGGACGGCTACCTCAGTTATATGATCTTTCAAGGCTCGATTACCTCGGGAATCATGGAGCATTTCCTCGAGTTTGAGGTGTTGCCGCACTGCAATCCTTACCCAGGTCGCAACTCAGTAATAGTACTTGACAACGCGTCTATACATCGATCAGTAAGAGTTCGTGAGCTTTGCGGGCGAGCTGGTGTTGTACTGGAGTACTTGCCGCCGTACTCACCAGATTACAATCCGATTGAAAAGAGCTTCAAGCAGCTAAAAAGCTGGAAAAAGAGAAATGCGAGGCAAATGGAGTTGTTCAACGGCTTTGATTACTTCCTAGAGTATGCGGTACAGCGAGCGTGTTGTAATATTGACTGCAGAAGCTGGTTTCTTAAGTGTGGTTATCCGCTAGATTGAGGTTAGAGTTGAAGTTGAAGTTTAAGCTCAATATTGTAGCGTCGCGGTTTTCAAAGGTCTCTAAGGTGTTGCGCAACCTACAATCACGATTGTTTTTCCTAGAAAAAAATTGTAGCTACATCTACAACACTATGTCAGTCTATTCTGAAAGCACAGCTAACTTGAGCAGTGTGGGAGGCTAGAAATAATGGGGGTGGGCAGGCTTACTTGGTCGAGCAGCTCGCAACTTTATGAAAGATCTTCAATATCGCTACTTGGCTCGTGTACGCGATCTCGCTGCTTCGCAGCTTCAATACGCTCTAGGTCTTGCTCAGTAAACCCATCGTATTGCAACCTCCATCGTTTCGCTGCATCTCTTAACCGAATTAAAGCTCCGATCGGAAACTCAGTTTGCTCAACCCACAGTTTCATTGGGCAACCGTTGTCCGTATTGTCGAGCAGGATGTTGATATCCAACCTCATTACTACGCAGACGCTGCGATACATGGTTTTGATGTAACTGCTCGCGAAACCGGACGTACGCTGGCCCGCCCACCAGTCGAAGAAGTTCTTCGTATGACGAGAGATCTCTATCCAATTGGTATACTCGAACGGCTCCCATGATAGCGAGCTTTCCGGTTGTTGAGCTTGCACAAAAGCCTGGTTTGTATGCCCGGTTAGCTGCTTCAACTGGTTGACAATAAGCAGTTTCGTCAAGCTCGCGATCTCGTTATCACCACCTCCACCACTATCAACAGCGCCCCGTCGCCTAGATTTCTCAGCATCAGCGCGATCCTTAGCTCGCACAATAGCCAGGCGGACGTCGTCGGAAGGGTTGTGGACGCTGCCTGTTCCACCAGCAAGCTCGCGCGCCCACATCGCGATGATATTGCCATTAACTGGAAGGTGTTTCTCGAAGCGATCTGGCTGTCCTGGAGTGCGCGGGAGCCAGCAAACGTATGGGTGATTGCCACAATTCGCATCTTGACACCTCCACTGATCTCGTATAGCCATCGCCCACCCAGACCCAGCTTGCTCAGCTGCTACAACACCAGCGAGACCTTCCTCTTGTATCACCGTCGCCGTACGAGCTCTCGCCGGCGCCGCCGCAGGCGCTGGACGAGCTGCCTGAACTGGCTTATTGTCGGCCAGTATGAGGTCGAAATCTACATAAACGGGCTCAGTACTGTTTACGTCAACGCCCTTCACGAGGTCCTTAAAACCAATCCAGTTAAGTATTTCGTTGCGCCGCAACCGCTTGTTTCTACGCTCTTTTTTGGCCTCCTTCCGCGTGTATACAACCGCAACAAGGCTGACAACTATGGCAACTCTAGGCAGAACGTCCGCCAACACGCCATCAACCCAGTCCCAGGTGCCGGTGGACGTGAGCCGCGACAGGCGGATCGCTGGGTCGCAATCACAGGCCTGCGCGATCGCATTCCTCTCTAGGTCACCCCAACAAGCTCGCCAGCGTACGTCGAGCATTGGATCAAGAATAATTTCCTGTTCTGGTGTTGCGGGCGTAACTCTAGTCTCTAAAACAGCGTTTTCAGTGTCAATTTGAGCATCTCTAGTGCCTCCAACAGCGTCTGCAACACCAGTTTCGGCCTCGTCGTCGCCCTCCGGAGCTTCAATATCGCTGCGATCTTCATCGTCGTCGCCTACAATATCATCAGCTTGCGCGTCGATTGCGGACTGCGTGCAGCTAGGCTCAAATAGTGGGGAATCTTGAGCTCGCGCGAGCGTTGCGGGCGGCGTCAAAGGTGTTACCGCCTTAGCAGTACCTCGCGTAGGCGTAATATTGGCTTGCGAAGGGTTTTCTGAGAGCGCTTTCCGCCTTTTAGATGCCCGCGAGCTTCCTGGAGGTGGGTTAACACCCTGTTCAAATGGCTGAGTTGCATAACGCTGGCGTTTGGCCATTGGATTAACGATTTCCCGCTCAAAATCAAGCTGACGATAACTTCAACTTCAAAAAATCTCGAAATACTCTAAAAACTGGCTTGCGAGCAGCCTTACCAGCCCCAGCCTTATCGCAAACATCGCTATAACGTGGTTCACAAGCGAGTCGCCAACACAAGCGGGTCGCCACCCCAACACCAGCGCGACGCCTGCACAGCAACTTCACGTAATGTCACAACTACGCAATACCCAAAGAACCTACAATGAAGGCAATATACAGCTTGCTATCTTAGATATTAATTCTCATCAGTTTCAAAGCAACGCACGCGCTGCAGCAATCTATAACGTCCCACGAAGAACGCTTGTTGACCGACGCGCTGGACGACGCTCTCGACGCGATTGTAAGCCAAACTCAAAACGCCTTACAAAGCTAGAAGAGGAGGCGATTGTACAGCTTATACTTAAAGAGAGTTTACGTAGTATACCGCCCTTAAAGGCAAACGTACGAGATATAGCTAATAGACTGCTGAGAGAGCGTAGTAGGAAGCCTACAGGCAAGAACTAGGTTAATAACTTTATTAAGCGTACACCTAAGCTGCGAACGCGATAGAGCCGTCCGTACGATCACCAGCGAGCTGTCTACAAGGACCCAGCAATTATTAGGCCCTAGTTCACGCTTGTTTAATCGATAAAGGCGAAGCATAGTATCGCAGATAAGAATACCTAGAACTTTAACGAGTCTAGCTTTATAATAGGCAAGATATCCTCTCAGCTTGTTGTTACAGGCTTAGAGAAACCTAAGAAACAGAAGAAACTACAGCCTAGCGATCGTAAGTAGGTAACTCTAGTCTAAGGCGCCTCTGCGACAGGGCGCGTTATCCCGCCCTTCCTCATCTTTGCGGGGAAGGTCCTTATTACCTCCTAGTTCGCAGATCTACCTCGCGACTAGATTATCACTGTCTCTCCTACTAGCTAGATTAACAACGACCTCGCGCTCGCGTAGCTTAAGCACTTTAATGCTTATACGAAGGCGTCCTCTGTTAGGGCATATAGGCTGCTTATTATTGACGGCTATGACAGCTATTGCTTAGTAGATTTCCAGGACTACTGCAAGGAGAACAAGATTATCGCTCTCTGTATACCACCTCACTTATCGCACCTCCTGCAGCCTCTTAACGTTGTCCCCCACTCGCTGTTAAAGCACTACTACAGCAATAGGATCTCGCTCTTAGCACGCAGCCGCATCCACCATGTTAACAAGGAAACCTTCCTACCAGCCTTTAAAGCAGCTTATAAGAAGACGTTTACACTAGAGAATGTTCGCGCAGGCTTTCGAGGTGCTAGGCTAGTCCCATACGACCCAGAGGTTGTGTTATCAAAGCTAGATGTGCAGCTGCGTACGCCAACGCCACCTGCACTAGGCACAGTCGCCTAGGAGGCGCAAACACCGCGCAACGCCCGCGAGATAGAGGCGCAATCTACGCTAATTCGAAATCGCATGCGAAACTACTAAGGGTCACCAGCAAGCTTATTAGACGAGCAGGTTAAGCAGCTAGGTAAAGGCGCTCAGCAGATAGCTTATAATATAGTGTTAATGCGAGAGGAAGTAAGAAGCCTTCGAGAAGCTGTTGACACGCTTACAAAGCGCAAGACTCGCAAAAGGTGGTACGTACGCGCAGAGGAGACTCTAACAGTTGGTGAGGTATCTGACTTAATTGCTAAAATAGACGGTAGTAGGCGTAAGGACAGCGAGACGCCTGCGAAGAGGGTGCGCGCAGAGAGGCGCTGCGGCCGTTGCAGCGAGGTTGGGCATAACTCTCGCACCTGCAAGGTAGAAATAGAGGATGTAGATAATAGTGACGCTTCTGAGTAATAGTAATCTGTTACCTATAGTACAATATTGTGTTCTGGTGCTACACTACGTTGTTGCGCAGGCGTCGCGCTGGTGTTGGGGTGGCGACCCGCTTGTGTTGGCGACTCGCTTGTGAACCACGTTACAGCTTATTTACAGTAGCGATCGATGATCCGACGGTTCCGGTTACCTCGGTTAAGGGTGAGTCTGGTCTTTCGCAAAACACCCATAACGTGTTCCACCACTCATCCGCCAAAACCACTCATCCGCCAGCCCCACCAAAATCAACGCAATACTCTACACGATAGTTCTATAGCAACATAAAATAATAAGATAGGAATTTTATAGATAGTTAGTCTATTACTGTCTACATTGAGTCCGCGTGTGTCCTTGAACGTGATACTTTGTACACGTTGGTGGTGCGCGCTGACGTCCTTGAGTAGCCTGGGCTTGTTCAACCTCCGCGACCACCCTTTCTGCCTCTACAGCGAGCTGCTAGCCTTGCTGAGCCTGTAGCTTCCCTCCACGAGCTTGAACCACGCTGCGATTGCGACAGGATCCTCGCAGCGAGCGCGCTGGCTATGGAACTTCCTATTCCGCTTAGTCTGTAGCTCTGACTGGCTGTTGACGAAGCGCGACACCCAGTTCTTGCCTATAGGTGTAGGAGGTGGATTTTGGCCGCGCGCGGCGAGAAGAGCGTCTGCCATTCGTCGTACGTCGATGACCTGGGGCGGAAAGCCTCGTCAATCGAGGTCTAGGATCCATTGAACGAGAGACTGCTCTTCGATAGGGTCTAGCTTCCGTTTCTGGGCGTTAAAGTCCTTAATTGTAGGGACGCGTTAACATCGGCGTCGGAGCGTTGTTCGCGGAGCGTCGTACAACGAGGCAGCCTGGCGCTGGCTTGTAACACGTTTTTCTTGGAGCGCACGAGATGCTAGAAGAATTCTACCCTCACGATAGTTTTGCTGAGCACGAGGTTGTCGAGCCATGGTCGTTGGCGCAGACGGAGTTGCGAGGATTTGGTGGGGTAGGCCGAGGACTGGTGGAACACGTTACAACACCTGGAACTGGACGGATTCAAGGCCCGCTACTGTACAGAGGCGGGAGACGGGCCAGTTGAAGGTTAGCCTTGCTGCAAGAAGATACCCATCCTCTTACCTTATTGGGACAAACCTAAAATCAACAATGACTCGGAACACAAATAGCTTAGCATTCGGATCTTTCAAGGCTGCTTGCCTGATTGTTTTGTTGGTGGGGAAGTTGGAGCGTCCCACTTCTTATCCACGGAAGAGCGGCTAAACTCGGCGGATTATCGAGCTTTATGTAAAGCCCGAACTAACTACATTAGGAATGACATTCACGTTGGTTGCAGCTGGAGATAGGACGGCGCTTACTAAAGTTCCACCGCACCTCCAAAGTTCCATGGACGGGCCGGAAAGGTACATAACTCTCCATTCATCACACCATAGACGCATATATACTCTCTGCTCGCTACTGAACCTCGCACTACAGTCTGGTTTTGACTTCTTCACAATGGCAACTTCAACCTCCAATCAAGCATGGACAATCCCCTCCTCAGCATCCAAAGTCACCGATCTCACGAAACAAACCAAGCCCGTCCCAACTCCAGGGCCGAAGCAAGTCCTCGTCAGAATGACGGCTGCCTCCCTCAACTTCCGCGACGTTCTGATCTCCACTCGCTCTCCTGCTTATCCAGGAACTCACAAACCAGACCTCGTGCCCGGCTCCGACGGTGCAGGAACAATCCACACCCCCGGTCTCTCATCTACATGGGCCGGCAAAGAAGGCACCCCAGTCCTCTTGCACTGCAGCTCCTGGCTTGAGGGAGACGTACGGAATCTCCGAGGCGATGTAGTATTTGGCGGGACAGATGTAGATGGCACGCTACAGGAATGGATGGTCGTTGACGATGATTGGATCATTGAGGCGCCGAAGAATCTGAGTGCAGTTGAGAGCGCGAGTCTAGTGACTGCAGGAACGACAGCATGGGCGGCTATACGGGGTGGTTTGGATGGGAGGTTGGATGGTGGTTTGGAGGAGTGGAAGGGTGTATGGACGGCGAAGAGATTGCAAGGGAAGACAGTGCTTACGATGGGGACCGGCGGTGTGAGCTGTTTCGCTATACAGGTACGATTCCCTCTTCTTCATTTTCCACCCAATTCGAACGAACTACGCAAGACAAAGAGCTCAGAAGATACTGATGAGCAATAAATAGATCGCAGCCGCCCTTGGTGCAACTGTAATCGCCACGTCATCATCAGACAGCAAGCTCGACTTCGCTAAATCGCTCGGCGCCACCCATGTCATCAACTACTCCAAAACACCAGACTGGGACAACGAAGTCCTTCGTATCACGAGCGGAAACGGTGTCGACCATGTCATCGAAACTGGCGGCGCAGGAACACTGATGAAGTCCGTCAACAGTACACGACCTGGCGGGCTCATTAGTCTTCTTGGGATATTGACGCCTAATGAGGCGATTTCTGCGGCATTCGTGCCAAGCGTGCTGTTTGGCGCTAAGATTGGTGCGTCACACTGGTGAAGGGAAGTGGAGAACGAGTGATTGCTGACAGTGTGCAGTGAAAGGATGTACAGCTTTTAGTCGCGATACCCTCGCCGAGTTTGCAAAGCTCGTTGACGCCAATGTGATCAAGCCTGTCATAGCGCAGTCGTTCGACTTCTCCCAGATGGTTGAAGCATTTCAGGCATTGCAGAAGCAAAACGCAGTGGGAAAGATTGTGGTCAAGATCAGTGACTCCTAAAATATAGCCAAATCTTCCGTCAGGAGAATCATAGCTGATGCATTCTCAACCTTTCACGACCCATCCAAGCGATGATTTCAGAGGTCTGTTGGACAGTAGATATCAAGGAGAGGAAGAGAGCTGAGTATCACGTAGCAGCAATATTCAAAGCGCCCTTCAAGCTACCAGTATGGGTCCACTTAATCCAGATGAGGCGTTCACTAAATTTGGCGATGCTATCATCCATCACCATCCCTTAAATCCTCCTCTCTCCCACTTCAATCTTACTGGCTAATATACCCATAATTTTGTTCCAAATGAAGAAGCAGCAGAAAGTTGTAAGGGGCCGGAAATTTGAGTTTCAGCAGCGATCAGCACGGCCTGCGATAGAGGCAGTAATAGAGATGGGAAGTAGTACCGAGTTGGCTCTGCAGACAGCAGCAATAAACAGGATGGCGGAGCTGTTTAAGTGTGCACAGGCTCTCAGCGACAGAGTGAATGAAGATCTCAACAATGAAGTCAGGTACAGCATCCATAGAGAAAGTCATACATTTGAGGAGGCGATTGCACTACTCCAGCCGCCTGCAACGCCCCTAGAAGCGGCTCAAGTATGGTTGAAGGGTGATGCACCACCGATCGAGCTATGCGCCACTTCAACGGGAGTATGTCAGCTGAGCATACAACAATGACATGAAAGGTTTTACAAGGTGCAACTGTAACACCCGATTGACCTTTAGTGTCGTGCTTCAAGAGATCATTGTGGTTTGTATGGTACTAAGGAATGGCCATACTGCACAAAACCAACCATGAACACATGGAAGCGTCGATCACTGCGAACGCAAGGCCAGGGTATATAGAGACCCAGAGTATTATCTCTTTCTTGATTCATCCTTTTTCAACCATCGCTCCGGTCTATGATACTAGATTCTTAGGGAACATTGTGCGAGGGCGACCGACTCATTGCTTTTCTACGCTTCCCTATGCGTCACGGCGGCTTACCATCTTACCTTTCTAACGCCGCAAAATAGTAAAGGTCTAAGCACAAGCTTCATGAAAGATCGTTTTGCTAGACTATTCAATGCCCTACCTGCATGACATACCTGCAATCTGTCAGGTAACTTGGACATGATACAATAGAATCTCGCTAACCCCTTTCAGAATATAGTTATCCTTGTTCTTGCATTGCATTAACACATTGCACTTCCCGGGCAGTAAGATTACAGCCTCATCTAATACATGTAGCTTGCAGCAATCTTTTTAGCCTTTGGGACTTTGCAGCGCGCTAATGCAGGTCGTTCGTAATACATAATCTGCTTACAAAGGCGCAGGGCTACATCCACGATTAGTCTAGATTACAGGAGCAAAACATGCAATTATGTCTTTCCCAAATAGGGCACTGGCATCTTAGCAGCCTCTGTCCGGAGGGCCGGCGCTGCATGTGGACAACGCTACTCAAAATTTCAACATCCGGCATGGGCACCGACTACCCGTTGGTCATTTGAAAGGAAGATCGCCTCTCGGGCCGACTGTTGGTAGTATAATCCTTGTAAACATACAGCAAGTGGGGACGATCACCTTTGTAGGCGAGGCGACGGATATATAAACCTACCTTTCTCCTTTTTCCCATACATCAATCTTAAGGATCATTTTCTACTACTTAAAATACACTTTTCGAACCTTAATTACCCACCCCTCGTGTTGACATCAGTAATGGCATCTCCCCGTTACACATCCAAGCCTGCCGACCCCTCTCCCCTGGCTCAACCCCTCACCTTCCCCTTCTCTAATCGCACATCACCAAATCGCTTCCTCAAAGCTGCGATGACCGAGCGCCTGTCAACTTGGCACCCTACGGAGTACCCTAAGCGTGGCATTCCTACGCCTGAGCTAGTCAATATCTATCGTCGGTGGGGCGAAGGCGGTCTTGGACATATCTTGACTGGTAACATCATGATCGACTACGACCAACTCGAAGCACCCGGAAATATGATAATCCCGCCCGCTGCAGAGTTCTCTGGCGACCGCTTTTCGGGCTTCAAAGACCTTGCCATTTCTGCGAAGAAACACGGCTCCTTGATTGTAGGCCAAGTCTGCCATCCCGGACGCCAGGTCGAAGATCGGATACAAAAAGACCCCGTCTCGGCGAGCGACATCCAACTGAAAGCTACGCCATTCGGCGTCAGCTACGCAAAACCGCATGCAGCAAGTCAGACGGAAATTGATGCTATTGTGGAGAACTTTGCGCATGCGGCAGAGTTTCTAGAGAAGGCGGGATTTGATGGGATACAATTACATGCTGCTCACGGTACGTTAAACTCCTCTACATTGACCACGATAGAGGCAACAATGCTGACGATAAGCAGGGTATTTACTCGCGCAGTTTTTGTCTGAGAGAACAAACAAGAGAACTGATCAGTATAACGGGAGCCTCACCAACCGCGCGCGCTTGATCATCGACGTAGCTCACGCTATCCAGAAACGTGTCTCTGCCAGCTTCATCATCGGTATCAAATTAAACAGCGTCGAATTTCAATCCGGCGGCTTCCAACCAGAAGAAGCGCGCGAGCTTGTTAAACTACTCGAAGCAAACCGTTTCGACTTCGTGGAGCTATCTGGCGGGACTTATGAGGAGAACGCATTCCAGCATAAGAGAGAGAGTAGTGTGGAGAGGGAGGCTTTCTTTATCGAGTTCGCAGATCTCATTGTTCCGGCCCTGACAAAGACGAAGAGCTACGTCACAGGTGGCTTCAGGACAGTGGGTGCGATGGTAGATGCGCTGGATACGGTTGATGGGGTGGGACTTGCGAGACCGCTATGTGCGGAGCCGCGTCTCGTGAAGAATTTGCTTGAGGGGAAGGTGACTGGCGCGATCAAGCACGTCTTCGACGAGAACGACTTTGCCTTCACCAATTTCTTAGCCGGTACCCAAATGCGCCAAATAGGCAAAGATCAGGAACCGCTGGATGCTAGTGAGGGTGAAGTGGCTGAAGGGTTCAAGAAGGACTTTGACAAGTTCATACAGTTGTCCAAGAAAGATGCTAATCTTGAAATGTGGGGTTATGCAGATTTGGAGAACGTGACTGTTGTGCCGTATGGAAGTTCTGCTGGAAGTTTGGTGGTTTGAGAGTCGGTCCAGGATGAGGTGAAGGAGTGTGGAGGGGCTGCGTAGGGAGCTGACAATAGCATTCTGCCTCTATCGTCTGACCATCTAACGTCCGTCCCTGCGTAACGGGACACCCTGCGTGGCGGGACGTTACAAACACTCCCCAACACAACAAACGCAACAACAAGTTATAAGAACACATATTCTCGGAATAGTAGCCTTGAGCTATACAGTCTATTCTCTCCTAGTGTCTTTTAGAGATAGGTTCTGCTTACTATGCAATACGACAATTTAGTATAAGCGTCAAGCGACCGCCTTGCTTTGGCTGGCAGCGGGTGCGTCAAAAGCTCCTGCATCTCGTCGAAAGTCCGTTAACTTAGAGCTTGTCGCATTATCATCCTATTCCGAGCACTGCGCTTGAGCTCGAGAGGTTGTCGTACTTCTGTGCTAAGTGCAAGACTGCCTGCTAGAAGTCCCAGATAAGGAAGCCCCGCATACTTAGCTTAAAGTAGCCTAGCCGTAATATATTGCTGCTGACGCTAGATCTATGGCTGTGTGGCTGTGTGGCTGTACGGCGCTTTTGCCAAGCGCGCCAGGACACCCAAAAACCAGCTTAGGTTGGAAACAGGGCTGGGTTTGAAGGCCCCAGCATTTGGCTCGCGTCTACGAACACACCCAGCACCAAAACCGCAACTAGCTTCTAACACAGCCATTATGCAACTTTAAGACGCAGTGCAATAGATGACTATAGCTAGCACGAAAGCTTACATGTCATAGAGAATAAACCGTCGCGCCGCCCTCTAGCTCCGCAGACCCGCCGTAGATCCCTCGTCCACTCCACCACATCCTCGTACTTCTCGAGCACATCGCAACCGATACATGTACCTAACTGTAGCCGCATATCGCCTTATCTCGTTGAAGAGAGTACAATGAGTTAAGAGGCGTCTAAGAATAGGGTGGGCAGGTCTCACCCAGCGGGCATGGCCGGGGACAGAGGCTAACTGGCATGATCCAGAATACTAAGATCCGAGTCTAGGCTTTAGCAAGCGGAGTGGGAGTTACTGGAAGATCGCCGTCAGTTGACGCACACATAAAGGTGGAAAGGGTCCGCATATCTTGGGGATACAGCTGTTGTACGGTTATACAACGAACGGCTTCTCGCATAAGCACTGCAACCGTTAGGGCGGAGGAAATTCTATCTCTTCGCAATGCCATTCAATCTAGATGTCCATGGCAAGGGTGTGGCAGATGCGGGTTGGTCATCTACCTAGTTTGTGGTGGCAAATTTGCCGCACGTTGCTTTCAATACAGCGTCGTAAGCATCGCTGTCAGCGTTGTGTTTAATAGACTACTATTACCGCCAAGACATAGGCTTCAGAATGTAGTTATCTTCTTTCAAGGACACCAATCAGCCAGCCATGCATGCATTTCCCTCATAATCACTTGGCACCCCATGCCACTAGCAGCTTCACCACCGCCTCGTGGCCTCCTTGTGAAGCCGCCTGGAGTGCGTTGCCGAATGGTCCAACCTGCGCGTTGACCTCGGCGCCCTTGTTGAGCAGCATCTCCACCACCGCTTCGTGGCCTCCTTTTGAAGCCGCGCAGAGTGCGTTGCCGTAGCATCCACCCTGCGCGTTGACCTCGGCGCCCTTGTCGAGCAGCATCTTCACCACCGCTTCGTGGTCTCCTTGTGAAGCCGCGCAGAGTGCATTGCCGTAGCGTCTACTCTGCGCGTTGATCTCGGCGCCCTTGTCGAGCAGCAGCTTTACTACCTGCTTATGCCCATTCTCTGCCGCCAACAACAGCGGTGCCGTGTCGTCATCATCATTTGTGGCCTGTATATTGGCATTTTCCCTCAGCGATTTTTGCACCGTCGCCTCTTGGCCATGTCGGGCAGCCCACAACAGCGCTGAGCGTCCAGATTGTTGTACATTGTAGCGGTAGAGGTAGCTATCTAGGAGACGGTAAAGGCGGCGGTTGGCTCCTGCAACGGCGTTGATATCTCTCTCGGATCCTAGGTATTCTGATATATCTCGGAGCAACTCATTTGGTAGATCGAGCAGTGGCATTGCTGAAGTAGCACTTGTCTGCTTTACTAAATTCAAGCTAGTGATGAAAACAACCGCCTAGCAAGCATCATAAGCAGGGGTGAAGCGGGCAAAAAGTTCCAATTTAATAGTAGGCACGTGTTGTGAAGAAAGCCCAAAAAGAGAGAGTTGAGGACGATGGTGGGGCAAGCGGTGGCAGAGTGACTGACCCACCAGAGTTCAGCATCACGTGGTTGAGTAAAAGATCCTCCCTGTGTGACGGAAAACCCCGTGTGCCGGAAACAGCCAATGAGAAACAACACCGTGTCGGGAAAGATGGTATCCTTGCTCTCTCATTGGTTGTTTCCGGTACACGGGGGTTTCCGTCACACAGGGAGGGACTTTAAGCGCGTTCAGAAACAGAATCGAACAACATTGAAGGTGATTTGGGTTTTGATGTCGCTATCGGTAGTAGGGAGAGTGGCCAACCCGCTACGGTTATAGGGTTGCAATGAACGTCCACACTGGATAGCATTGCAAAGAGATACAAGGGCTGTTGTCGATGACAGGACGGCATGCAGCCTTATGGAGCGCAGTACCTCACCAAGCAAAGCTACCATCAGATCTCTGCTCTACCTTACCAGCGCTTATAGGCATCGACGATCCAAACTCCTCATCGCCCTCAGAGGTCAAGCTGAAGCACCTTTCCACAGCCCTAATGATTGCAGTGCTCTTGCAAGGAGCCAGCCATTTGTTGTATAACTGTGCAACAGCTATATTCCTAAGACATGCGGACCCTTTCCCACCTTTGTACCTGCTTGCACCAACGGCGTTCTTCCAGTAACACTCACTCCACTTGTTGAATCCTAGACTCAGATCTTGGTACTCTGTATCATGCGTACATATATCGGTTGCGATGTGCTCGAGAAGTACTAGGATGTGGTGGAGTGGACGAGGGATCTACGGGTGCCAAACCGACGTGGTGGGACGCGCGATGGCCTGTAGCGCACAGTTGTCAACAATCAATCCAATCGGCATGATTGATTCCTGCCTAGGTTAGTACTACCTTGATTAGGAAAGTGTATACCCAGATAGGAACCAATCATGTCGATCGGATTGATTGTTGACAACTGTGCTGTAGAGACTGTTGCGACCACTGGCAAGTATTTTTGATGCCTTTTATAATGGTGATCCTAAAAATCGAGTTCTCGCTGTTTGTGGTGTGTTTCTATGCCGCGGTGCGCGTTGCGGTAACGTGCGCATTGCGGGCACGGACACGGTATATGAAGGAAAAGAGTCAATTCCTTTCCTTTACGTATGTAAATCACGCTACAGTATATTATTAGCCAGTGATTAGTGCCAACTTCAGGTGGCCGAAAGCTGTATATTTGGCCAGTAGGCGCAATCCGCGCAGGCGAGGAGCCTTTACCTGATGTAGTAGGTGGGGCAAAAAATCTTGGTCAGTACGCCAGCGGAAACGCTGTTGCGGCTGTGTGCAGGGGTGAACCTGCATTCGCTAGCGGCTGCATAGACGGGGCCGATCTTGGTTGTGGAAGTTTTTAGTAGCTCCGCTAGCCCATTTTCGGAAACTGGTTTTCCTTGCTTGTGCATGCGTTAACCACATGGCACTACCCACGCATCATGCTCGCAGCCTCAGTCTCATCTGTGGGCAAGTGGCTAGCCTTACGTATAAAACCTTCGGAGCCTTCGCAGCGCGCTAATCCCGATCTTTTCTACGCACCGATATGCCACGCCTTTCAGCTTCATGTAACATTAGTCTAGTCTGGCGACGCTCAACTACTTGTGCTATGAATGCTACGAAAAGCAGAAGCTCCATAAGCCGGTCATGGGATTTATTCTTGATCAGTCGAGTTCTGCGAGATGCTCCTCACATGATTGCTGCACATCTCCGCCTCCATAATAGGTTGATACTAGTGCAGCGGTCCCAATGTTTTGGAGAGTATGCTTTAGACGCCGACTATTTAATCCATTGCTACTTTCGTCTGGTGTTGCGAGACATGATCACAAATCGCGGCCTCCCTTTACATTTTCCCTTTCCAAAAAGGCAATGCTTCCTGTGCAAGCGTAGGCCGAGTATAGTTTCTGGAGTGTTACGACTCATTTGAGCCCATTAAAAGGGCATAGATGTTTCTGTGGGATCTAGTTTTACCTTCATCAGCCTGTCTTACACGGATGAACTAAGTGGCCGGGAATACCATTTACTGTAAATGCCACAAAGTGAATCTAAGCAGCTGTCAGCCTCAACCCATTTGCTTGGGTCAACAACCGATGCCCTACTGGCTGCACGTTCGGCCAGTCTGTTCACTTCAGATTAGGGACATAGCAGCGGAAGTAGGCATGCGCATCTACTGTAAGCTAACCTCTACACATTCGTTTGAGAACGGCCTAAACCATGATTTGTCATAGTTGTTCATCAGTATGGTAGAAGGTAGGAACCCACGGATCTCAAGGCTTGGCCAGGCAATGTTCCTATACGCCGAATCTTGCTGGTACGTGTTCGTCAGCAAATAGGAGCTTGCAGGACACCCATTTCGGAGTGCCATGAGTCAAGTGAAGGTTCCCATGTTTACAATGCTCATCACTAGTACGTTAAGTATCTAAGCTCTCCTTTTCTAAAGCAATCCGAAGTTTGAGGCACCGATTCCATGAGAAAGTAGTACAGTAACGCTGGGTACTGAGGGTGCTTGATCCCACGAAGGGTTTGCAACGCACAGCAAACCGTCGACCTAGCATTCCCACGTCGCCATGAAATCTACCTACTTCGATGCGCTGCAGCAGCCTTATCACCATTTCACGAGCACGATGTCGGATCCATTTGCTCATGTCGGAGTTGACCCAGTGACGATACGAAGTATTGTATGTGCTTGATCATGAGCAAGTAGTGGTCTGCCGCTACGGTTGTCCTGCATACAGCCTGATGGACAATGACTAAGCTGACTGTACACAGGAGCCTCTCGATGATGCTGCACTTATTCCAGGTGCCTATGATGCCTTTACGTTATATGGTCCGCCAACCCTGCCGCTGTACCCAACCCAAGACGCCACGGAACATACAGTCATGCCCGTTGGCAGGGTGGACTCGAAGGCTAGAGAGGGGGTCGAGGATGGCATAACGAGCAAGACATCCAGAAGCGGCAAGGAGAAAGCGTTGACAATCACTCCCGCGCAAAAGAGACGGAAGGCACAGAATAGAGCAGCGTACGTCCCTCCCCGTTATTTTGTGCTATACCCAACTACTGACTCTCGTGTAGCCAAAAGGCCTTCCGCGAGCGTAAAGAGCGCCATGTACGCGACCTTGAAGCAAGAATCTCTGCGTTCGAGAAAAGCTCACACTCCCTCCAGTCAGAGAATGAGTGGTTGAGACTTGCCTTGCAGTGTGTCCGCAGCGAGACGGAAAGCCTATGCGATACACTCAGTCTATTCCCTTCTTCGTCAAGCACGGTATCGGTCAGCTGTCTCTTGCCAGACACTGACGTGTATCTCCCATATGAGGAGAGTAGTTACAAGAAGTCTAACATGCAACCACCTGATAATGGTAGCGTTGCCAAGGCCGCTGACAAAGAGCATGCTGCTTCTCGATGCAAGGTCAAGTGCAAGGAGGTCTCCTTTGCCCAGGCCTGGGACCTCGTACAGTCACATCCGCTTGTTAAGCAGGGTCTAGTTCGAGTTGTTGACGTCTACGAGCGACTGAGAGGCGCGTTAAAGTGCAACGGTCACGATTTCGTCTTTGAGGAGAGCACAATATGGCAAGTCATTGAGGACTTGAGACAAAGTGGTGGAGATGAACTCATGTGATCTCTGATTTCTGACCCAGCGTTCCGGGGCTTGGGATTCTCGGTATTTTTAGACTATTAGTGCTCTTTCAAGCGTTGCCGGCCGAGTATCACTTATAGTGTTCGGTGTCTGGCGTCCAAAACTACTTCTTAGAACACTCAAATATGAATTTGTTTTGGGATTTGCGGGAAGAGAAGGCGATCAAGGAAATATTACGTCGCTACGACTGCTGATCAGCATGACCTGGGCGTCATATCGTATACTTCTAGCCAAATTATTGCTAAATTGCACAATTCCTTGTTATTCAGCTTGCTCTATACAGTTAGTTGGGTTTATATACAATATATGTCTCGGAGGCCGCTCAGTAGGAATGTATCTTGATCGATTAGGATGGAGGAAGTCTCAAACAGAAGCGGCATGAAATCCAGAAAAGGTGACGGCTATGAGTGTCAGGACGCAGCCCTGCACCACTACGCCATCAATCAAAAAGGTACGTATGATCAGTAAGCTGCTGATCATGATGCAGGATAGTATATATCGTCAGCCAGGCCTAACATCAGTGGCGGAGCTCGCTTGAGCAAGGCTCTTGTCCTTACTTCTTGGGCGATATACCCTTGGCAGCTCCCTCATAAGCATCTTCCTCGTTCATCCTGTCCACTTTAATCAGCTCAGACCTTCCCGAGCCTTACTCCTTGTCAAATTGCCTCTGTAAATGCTTGGACCTCTCGAGCAGTGATCGGCATGGAGGGAGATCTGGCCACCTCCACGATTCACCTCCATCTCCATACCGCCATGGAGACTCCATATAATTCTGAACCGAACTGATTAACCAGTTTAGTAGTAGTGAAACAACGTTCGTCGCAACAGGGTGGAGAGAGAATGTCCGTGCGCAGGGTGTTTCAGCAGAGCTTCTAACGTCACTCCATCAATCGTATGCTAGTTCCTATCAACATCATCATCACCATCTCCATTAGTAACCTGTTTTGATATATCCATTGCTACAATGGCGTAAGAAGCCAAAGTACCGAAGGATTGATGAGCAGCTCGAGGATACCCGAAAGTGGCCTATCCCATCCCTCGTTCAAAATGAACTAGATGCCTATCTTACTGATCGGCGGGAGACCGACTTATCGATCGTCCCGTTCAAGTACTGGATGCGACCATCTGTTAAGGTGCAGTACCCTAAGCTCTCTCGCATGGCGATTGACCTCCTCTCGATCCCAGCTATGAGCGCGGAGCCAGAGAGGATATTCAGTTTAGCTGGTGTTACTCCTTCTCCGCGTAGAAACAGACTCACTGAAGGTGCCCTGGAGGCAGTCACATGCCTGGCGAACTGGGGAAGAAACAGTTTAATTACGATAGGCAGCCATAAACAGGATGTAAGAGGGTCTCAGGTTATTAGTGAGACGGCAGAGGAGAACGACGACTATCTCCCTTCCCTCTTTGGGTTCGTTGACGACGACTAAGGACCTCTCTTTGAAGAGTCGCTGGCGGACAGTAGTAGTAGGAATGGAGAATAGATAGTACTACTTCAATCCATCAGTTTGCTCCATCATAGACTCTAGATTAGCAAATTTTATATCTACTATAAGAATAAGTGTTGTTTGAAACACCTAGGCGTTTCACTACGCTGATTAGTAATAACTTTAAAATGTATGGAGTCTCCATGGAGGTATGGAGATGGAGGTGGAGACTCCACCTCCCTCCATGCCGATCCCTGCTCTCGAGGTTCCTGACAGGCCCACCCACCCGATATCCAGTGGAGAGGAGCTTCACTGCTACCTCTGCGCCAATGTAACGCTCGACACCAGTGATGAGAATGGCCTCGCCAAGTGGAATGATGGAGTCAAGCTGACCTTTGACATGACGTCGTATGCTTTAGCCAATACTTTTCCAATCAATTGATGGGTGTGTGTAGGGTATCAGGCGGCCCCTAGGTCCTCGTGTCGCGTAAAGATACCTGTCCTCGCCATCCTGCCGAAACATACAGCGGCTCCGGGGTCAGCAAGCTTCCTACGAGTTCCGCCAATCAAAACAGCAACAAACTAACACTCTTAGCCATTGATCAAGGGACATGGTGCTATGAGAGGAGAATCTCAATCTAATGGAGACGCCGAAAAGTCTGCCGCCATCAACTAGCATCTACTGTATGCATGAAGCTAGGCGAAGGCTTCGTGTTCGTACCGGTGACGCATGGCTTTGACGCACGTACCCCTGCACCACTTCTCCTGTTAAGCAAGGCCAGGCTTGCCATCGCTAAAGCAGGGTGTAGCTCCTCAAGCGCAATGCGCCCGGCAAGTACCCGTGATCATTGTGCTGTACCTAGTCAAGGAAACGAACGCGTTGGCACACTGTTCTCGCTTACACACGTTGATGTGCATGATGTCAGCGAAAAGCCGTGTCGCCACTGGTGCTCGCTTGCGCAAGGTTGCGGAACTTGTACCCGCTCCTGTCATGCTTGGCATGACCTCTGCCGTCCGGTTCTGCCCAAAGTCTCGACGCACGAATCTTGTGCATGCCAGTCATTTTCATCGTATACTTTCCGCCTTCGCTCTTTACAATCCATGGCTAAATTGCTAAAAGACACATCTACCCACTGCATTTGTCCTTTAAAGTTCGATAATATCCCTGACCAATCATATAGTCCATAGCCCTTTGCAACCATGATCACCTCAGCCCCCACTACCGTGTCCGTGCATTCAATGCGCACAATCAGTCCATGCGCACACATCACCATAACAGTACTTTGCAAAAATGAGGCTATTAAGCCACACACAAAAGCAATTATCACAGGATTTCTTAGTGGAGTGTTCTATAGACCTATGCAACAAACTCTGCCACTACAGCTTTTTGCGCGGAGCGGTTTTGCGGCCACGGGAGTTGTACTTTAGTGGAAGTGTCGGGGTGCGCAGCGTGTTAACTACACCACGACGCGCAGCTGCAACACCGCAATTCTGCTTCTTCTTAGGTGCTATACTTTGTGAAGCTTTTCGCTTGCCTCTCTGGGACAATTGTAGCTCTTTTTCACAGTCTTTCTTCTCTTTGTTAAGGCGTCGTTGCTCTTTGCGCGCATTAATGGCCTTACGTTCTTCTGCCTTCTCCTTCCTCCGTGCCTCTTAGTCTCGTGCACGCTGCGCCTTCTTTTCTTCTGCAATCTTGTTGTTGCATAGCTTATTAGCCTTCTTCAACTCTCTCATGTCGGCCCTGTTTTTCTCATCTGCTTTCTGCTCCTCTTTTGCCTGCTTCATGCGCACCTTAGTTTCGTGGAAGGACCGAGAAGTCCACAACATCTCCGGCCCCCAATATTCATAGTGTTGTAGCAAACTCTGTAAGCCTAGGACCACATCACATGACTGCTCTGCAGGCATGACTAATGCGTCCGACTACTTAAGAGCTCAGATCACACATTTGTACATAGACAGAAGAATACACTCATTCATGTGACCTTATACTACTACCACCCTATGCTTACAAACTCAAAGACTTTCTCTTGCCTTTGCTCTTGCGTTTAGTTACTAACGCGTCGCGGAGACCTTCATTTTCGCTGTTTAAAAGCATACATGGGCAAAATGGTCGGTTGTTCCGGTCGGTTGTTCTGGTTAACCGATTATTTTCATGACCATCCCTCTTTGGCATTCTTGTCTCCCATCGCATAGGTCTAACAATTAGTTTTGTGTAAGAGGGATGGCTCCATACCATCTGTATAGTTGTAGTCCGACGGGGACAGCCGTGTGATGAGACTGTAGCATTAGTGACTTTGCAAATGCACCTGCCAAGTTGGTCTGTACGCATTGACAAAGAAGATGTTGCCTCGTCTTGCTGGCTCAGGGATGGCTTCGCACTATGAACCAGTAGGCTCATTGCTCATGTCAACGCAATCCGATATTCGAGCTCATATCCGAGCTCATATTAGATAACCCTGTCGCCTACACACTCCGCAACAATCAAGTCAAGACAATCTGAGACCGATTTCTTGACTTGATTGGGCCAGAGCAGCACTACGGACTGTCTTGATTGCGGATTAAGGTATCGTAAGGCAGTTGAGATTGTCTTGACTTGACTTGATTGTCAGAATTTTCAAATTTTGGTAGTGTAGCTACTCCTCCAGAGTCACGATCTCTGGCGACTCTGCCCAGTTGTATATGTAAGCATAGGGTGGTAGTAGTATAAGGTCACATGAATGAGTGTATTCTTCTGTCTATGTACAAATGTGTGATCTGAGCTCTTAAGTAGTCGGACGCATTAGTCATGCCTGCAGAGCAGTCATGTGATGTGGTCCTAGGCTTACAGTATATATCGTACTCTCACGCGAGTGAGTCGTCTGTAAAGCTTTCGCTGCTGCTGCTGCCGCTGCTGTCGCCGTCGCTGCTGTGCGTTTCAATTGCTTTTGTAATAGTGTAGCCAGCCCGAGTCCATGCTCTTATAAGCTGTAGAGCCGCAAGCAACTCACTGCCGATCGCGCGTCGTTTTGGTTCGAGTAGATCACCAAGCTCGCTGAAGAGCCGCTCGCACTCACAGCTCGATGCTGGGATAGTCAGTATATCGATTGCAAATTGGCTTAAACACGGGTATTTTGAGCGCATGGCAATCCAGTACTGGACAGCGTTGCCATTGTCGACAGCGTGCCACGCCGGCTCCTGGTTCAGCCAGCGATCGTACTCATCGCCTTGTAGTGTTCCTCTAACGCTGCGACGCGTAAAAGCTCCAATTACGTCATCTATATCACTTGTTTTTGTTGTAAACAACTGAGGCGCTAAGGGCAGCGGCAGCGGTAGCTTATAGCCTTGCCAAAGGCGCTGAAAGCCGTCATTAGCAACGCGTAGCCACTCCGGCTTGTCACGCTAGCTGTTCTCGCAGTAGTATTTGTAGTAGGGATGGAGGCAGGTAGCGGTGTAATAAATTGGTGAGTCGTCCAGCTTATTGTAATAATCGTTAGCCTTGTGCCAGGCGGCGCGGAGGTTAATATGAAGGTGGTCTACGCAATTAATCGTTAGCGAGTTGTTCGCTCAACAAGGTATAAT